CATTTCACCCTTACAAGTCAGTCATTATCATCGGTTAGTTTTGCCAGAGCCTGAGTCATTTCTCTTTACTCCTCCTGGTCACCATCGTTTAGTATTACTCAGGATAACTCCTGGCATATTTGTTGTTTTAGGAGGAGGTGCCCATTGAAGGTGTCAGCATGATATCATGTGGTAAATGGAAACTATTCATAACATCAGTGTCCTTAGCTAAGCTGAGGGGCTTTTAAATGCCTTTACCTATCTACCCTAATGTATGGAGAGTCTCAAAGAAAAATTATCCTTAAAAAATAAGAAAATACTTGGCAAATCATGAAATTGAATTCCCCCAGAGAAGCCCTCACTAAGGTGAATTTGTTTCAGTCACAAGAAGAGAAATCATTTGTGAACAATATAAGACTGTCTTTAAAATCTTAAAATGTACTCTTGTGTGGGCAGTCAACCAGAGCACAATATTTTCAAAAACTTGCACACTGTATATTTTCCAATTTTTAAAACATTCCATCAAGGTTCAGAGATAAGTTCACCTGAAGTAGACATGAGGGTAATATATTTTAACTAACAGAGGGGCCATCAGAAATCTAAAAGAAGCCTGAAAAAGTATACGTAAAAATTTTTGATCATGTATGTTATATTATGTCTGTGTAGAAGGTATCCAGCCATGTAATATGAAAAATAGATGCATTTATTCAAGAAGATACAAGATATAAAGAACATTGTACATAGGACAATAATGGCTGTGTCCCCTTCAAAGTAGGCACTTTGGAACCTCACACAGTTTTCCCAATCACCATCAGCTTCTCTGTTGTGTCTCCTGAATCTCATCAATGGTCTGAAATCACTTCCCTTTTAAAGGTCATTTTAGTTTTGGGAAAAGCAAGAAGTTGCAGGGCACCAAATCTTAGCTTCAGGGGAGGTGATTCACCTGGGTGATTTGACGTTTCACCAAAAAACTCTGAATGAGATGTGATGCATGAGCTGGTGTGTTGTTCATGAAGCTGCCAATCACTACTTGCCCTATAGCTCTAGCAGTTTTCTTTGTGTAGCATCTCTCAGCCAATGAAGAAATTTGAGGTAGTATTCCTTACTAATTGTTTGGCCTGGAAGGTTGTACTCATAATGGACAAGACCTGCTCTAATGTATATTCTTGATCTAGCTGTGACTTTGCTGTGCCTTTTTCGTGTTTGAAGAACCAGGTGACTTCCATTGGGATGACTGGGTCTTCATTTCCAGATCACAGCCATAGATCCACCATTCATCTCTGCTTATGACCTTCTTGAGGAAATCTGGTTCATCAGTAGTGATTTGAATCAAGTCATCAGCAACTGCAGCACGATGTTCCTTCTGCTCTGCTAGTAGAACCCTGGAACAAATTTTGCCATGCTATGTTTCATGCCAAGATCCTGTATTAAAATCTGGGACACTAGTTTTTGGAATCCCCATATCAGCTTCTAGTTCTCACACTGTCAGTCACTGATCTTTCTTGATTGCAGCCTGTACACATTCAACATTCTCAGTCGTTCTGCTTGTTGCAGGCCTTCCAGAATGGGGATCACTTTCAGCTGATCCTCAACCACCTTTGAAGCATTTGTGTCACGCTTTTTTTTTTTTGCACTGCATTCACGGCATTGTCCAGAAAGTGAATCATCTGCATAGTTTCCATGGAGGAATGTTCAAGTTTAATGCAAAACTTGATGCAGATTCATTGCTCTACTTGCTCAGTCATTTTGAATGTGGCAGCCACGTGGTACACATGCTCACTCAAGGGCGTCTACCACCCCTACTGACTGGTGCAGTGACGTCATCACTGTTCACACATGTACATTCCTCTCCACTCTCCTTGACTGCCAGGTTACAGCAATGTCCCTCAAACCATTCTTGTTATATAAAGGATGACTAGGCTTTCCCCAGATAGACCTCTTATCTCTATAGTATCTCTGGAGGTCTAATATCTCTACACTGGAGTGAATGTCAAGGGCACCAGCCTCCACTTCACCTGGGCTTTGGCCTTTTGTTTCTCCAGCCATCTATGGTCGTTAACCTTCACAAGGTGTAACTAGGCTATAGGAGTTTTTCCTCCATGCCCATTTATTCAGATTTAAGAAGGACTATATTTTCTAACAGCAACTCCCTTGGTTTGTTATATTAGCTCTTCTGTATTAGGTCCATAGTGCATGCTGAAAAGATTTAAACATTTCAACTACATTAATGCATTGAATTTGTTTCCAACAGAGCAAGCTTCTGAGGTAAGTATAATTATTTCTATTTTATATACTTGGTAACCAGAATTTTAAAAGATTGCCACTTTCTGATGGCAGGAAGTAGAAACAACTAGGATTTGTTTTACCCAGCTGACTTCAAATCCAATGTCCTCCCCATTCAGTTCTCTTATACAATATGGTATATAGGAGAGAGTATCATCATTAGACTTAGGACAGTTGGGTTGAAGTTCCAGGCATTAGCTATGTAAATTTAACAACTTCCTGAGGCATTTCCTCAGCTTGTATCTCCCTAGTTGTAAAAAAGAGGTTAATGATAACTGTCTTCTTTAACTCACAAGAATATTATGAAAATAAATCTGAAAGTGAAAATGTTTCTTAAACTATTCAGATCTATGCAAATGAATACTACTCTAAAATTTGGACATGCACATATCAAATGCACATAAATGTTTATTGAATTTAAATTTGATAGATTCTGTGGAGTCAACACAGTAACCATTAACCCAATTTTACATTAGTATAATAAACTTAATTTTTATGATGAAAATTAGGTGAATTAAATGATTTCTTGGCTGATGATCTGATACATAAGCCATGGTGTGATGATTTTCTTAGTCAAGACTCCCTCTCATCCCCACTTCATGGTGAGTAACAAAACTCATTTTAATGCGCTAGACAAACACTCTGTTTCTTAAGGCATCAGGATAGAGTGCAGCTGGACCTCACAAAGGCCAGAGAACTAGGATGTAAAAACTGTCAAAACCTCTCTCTCTCTCTCTCTGTCTGTCTCTCTCTTTTCCATTACCCTCTGTATGGCTGATTTATTTTTCTAAGTTACTGAGGACTGACCAATCCTGCTCATTAGCACAATGATTCAAAATGGAAACCTCTACTAGGTTAACTATCTCTTCAAGTTCAAGTTTCTAAGGTAGTATTACCAGCATCTCGGGATCCCGAGTTCAAATTCTATGAACTCGAGATCCCAAGTTTGGGATTTCCAAGTTCAAGAGAATCTGATTGGCCTAGCCTGGGTCATCATTTAATCTCATTACAGGAGTTTTTAACCTTAAGTACTATCAGCATTTTGTTTGAATAGTTATTCTTTGTTTAGCAAAAAGTACAGTGAGGCTCTGCTGTGCTTTTGTGGGATGCTATTAAAGCAGTGTCTATAGTTGTGACAGTGAGTATACATATTTTAAACAGGAATCTAATCTCCCTTTACAATCCTGCTTAAAATTCTTGCCAAAACCCTGCTGCCCTAAAATGGTGTTTCTATGAAATAAGTTAATTTAAGTCTACACTGAGATACTATATTTCTTCTAACCTTTTGTCAAAGCCCAGAGTTTGATAATATTATTCACTGCTCTGTCCAGGGAATAGGGAAGCAAGCTCTCCCACACATTGCTCCTGGTGGAGAAAAACACTGAACCTTGAGAGAGAACAAGGGCTCCATGTTGGTGAGCTCTATCAAATTTCTCACCCTGGTCCTTGACCCTGTCATTACCACTTCTAGGAATTAATACCACAAATAAGTGCAGGCACATGTGCATGTTAGCATGAAAAGCAGGCTAACATCTGAGTGAAAATGGGCAGGGGCAGACACATCTTTCCTACCACAGGCACAAACCAGCTCTGGAAGAGCAGGCAAACGTGGGCATTCTGGTTGTTTTCTATGCGTGGCTGAGGGACAGGGGTGGGCCACGAGTAGGAAGAAACCTTTTACTTTATACTCTTTCCTATGTCATGAATATTAAGCATGAGAATGCCTATAAATTCAAAACCAAATTTAAGAAATTCTTTATCTTTGAAGCGATATATTTTCTTATACCTCTTTGTGATTAGTTTTGTATTTTATATTGAGACAATTTAACAAACATCATAGACTGAGACAAATTAAACATCTAAATTTTCATTTAACAGTATTACAAATTTCCATTATATCTAACATTTGTATGTTCAAATTTTAATAATATTTTCTATATGTCTTCTATGCATTTCAAATAGTCTCTGCATTGTCTTCTATACATAATTTCAGCCTTTGCAGAAAGACTTTATGTAGAACATTTATGTAGAACATTTTATTTTTTCTTTTTAAATAAACCATTTAGCCTTAAGATTACTGAATGTTCAGTGCTAATCTAAGTATCATATGACTTTAAGAATGCTAAAAAAATAGAAATCTGTATTTTATTAGGTACCTTTGGTTTTTAATGTCTTAGCAATGATAAATAGCTCATGCATACTTGAACTAATGATTAATACAAGAAACAGTATGTACTGAGGGTAAGATATATTGTTATTTTATAGTGAATCTATACCCATAATTCATATAGGTTGTAGCACTGTACCTACATAGAATAAAATAAATACACAGTGTCATTTTATTTTATTTATTTTTCTCATGAACGAATGGTGATGTAACCATTTGGAAAAGCACTGAGATATTCCGTTAACCTGAAATTAAGTTATTATTATTACTTTGTGCACATTCAGATTCCCTCTTTCCTCTGATGTACAGTCTCTGAAATCAGAGTTATTATCACCACATCTTTGTGGCTGGTATCATTAACTTAGAAATTACAAAGAAATATAAGGAAGAATTATATATGTTTTATTGGGAAGGAACACAATTAGGCAATTTACTTAGATTCAAACAAATTTACCACAAAGAAGCAAAAAACTCACTTTCATGTTTATGATCACCAGAGGTCTAAAAATCATCAGTTATTAAAATTACTTAACCATTTCAAGCCTATGCTTTCTATTAGTTGCATACTCACATGTCTGGCAATGACTTTCTGTGGGTCCCCAGCATCGGCCAGTGCAGGACTTATGGCAACGTCCACCTGCAGGAGAGGAAACGACACATGCAAATTTTCACTCTTTGACTGTATCTCCTCAAAGAAAACATTCCTGCTCCTTTAACAGGATTCTTATGTCCTACTACAGTTGAAACATAGCTCACAAAATACCTGCTTCAGTAACAACACCTGAATGTCAGCCCTGATTGGTGTCACTCAGTGGACTGAGTGCCAGCTTGTAAACCAAAGAGTGGCCAGTTCCATTCCCAGTCAGGGCACATGTCTGGGTTGCAGGCCAGGTCCCCAGTGGGGGGCAGGCAAGAGACAACCACACATTGATGTTTGTCTCTCTTTCTCCCTCCCTTCTTCTCTCTCTAAAAACAAATAAATAAAATCTTTTAAAAAACCTGAATGTCAAATACATGTGAAGCTGAAATACAATCTTTTCCTATTCAAAATTTTCTCACCATTTTCTATAAAATAAAAAGGAAATCAATGAGTTTGTGAATTTTACCAACTGGTCAAAAAGCTAATATTTACATTAAATAAGTTTTGCTTTGATTACTGAACAGTTTTATACTTATGATCTATTCTATTCACCACAATTTCTAAAGTTCATGGCTTACAGTTACCAAGAGTTATTAAGGACTAAATCAATAGTTAGGAAGTTGAAGTCTATGAAAACAAGAATGTGTTCTTATAAACACATTACAAGCCACCAGAATAAAAGGTTGCATACTTAATTTAGATCATATTTCATTGTAGGAAGTCACGAAGAGGATGCGACCATCAGCTGAACCTTGAGCTTGACCTGGGCAAATGGAGGATTGTCCCCTTCCCCCCATCCTCAGAATGCACTTGACTAATATTCTCAAACTAGCAGCTCTTTCCAGAGTACAACCTTGAGAGAAGAAGCTGTCGTTGAAACCATCTGGACTGCATACGTGACTGAACTGAGTTAAGGTCTCTACATAAACTTTTAAGATTCTGTGGCAGTGTGTGGAAGTCTTCTCATGTTGTGGCCACTGAAGACAAGCTTCATATGTGCATATAAGTTCCCTAGCTTATTAAAACCCACTGCCTACCAATCTGGAGTTGCCTACCTCTCTGTTTGGTCTCTCCTTGCCCTCAGGGTACAGGGCCAATGTGGGAACCAACAGATCTCTATGAAAATTTCGAGCATTTAAACAGCTAAATTTGTTTGATTTCTATTATTTGATATCCTTCTCTAAAATTATTATTGTTACTACCTTTAGTTTCAAATATTAGCCTTAAGCTCCAGCAGTGGTATCTTCCTCTTAAAGACTGCCCCCATGGATATACTGTATTTTTCAGACCATAAGACACACCTTGGTTTTAGAAGAGGAAAATAGAAAAGAAATTTTGAAGCAAAAATGTGGTAAAATATTTAATAACATAAATAACATAATATTTCACTAATGTAAATGTAAATAGAACTCAACAGCAGCATTAACAACCATTATTCCTCCCAAATTTGGGGTGGGGGGAAAGGTACGTCTTATAGTCCAAAAAAATACAGCATGCCTCAGCAAATACAGTGCTCCACAGAGAAATTCCCATAAAGACTCAAGAAAAGAAAATTAGCTAAAGAGATTGTGCATAATGACTTTCTTCGAAGTTTGTTTCTGAATTCCACAGGTTCACTCTACATTTTTGCGGGTACGAGGGTATGGAATGGGCTTATTTTTAGAATGTAAAGTAGACATAAAATCTATTAAAGCTGAAAGCTTTGCTATAGCATGCTTATTAATTGTTCTCTGTTAATTTTCCAATATTAATTCAAATGCTTACATGCCTATTCAGTGCATTTATTTCAACATGTTGCAAAAATTATAGATTAGAGTCTTATCAAATGTTTCCTTCTTTTCTTGACCCACAGTTTTTAACTTCACCTTGGGAGTTCTTATACCTGGGCAGCTCTCTCTTTCTCTCTCCTTATGAAACTGACTTAGTAAATATACTAAGTTAAATGCTTTCTCAGTTAAGGAGTAGGATCAGCAGATACATGCTCCCAGACTGAACTTCAGATACTCCTGATGGTCCACCTTCTGCAAGTGAACAGTACTACCTCCAAGTTAATATAACACTTCCTCTCGATTCCAGTCACCTTCTTAAAAAGCGGCAGGGTTCTTGCCACAACAGAGTTTATTTAAAGCAATTCTGTTTGTGAAGTGCTGCTGCTGACATCACCAGCATATAATATCCTGTCACTCTGCCATCTGTTTATTTAGATTTGAATGCATTATACTGCATAATGCAAGCTCATTTTAGCTGACAGGAAGAGGACTCCATCTGGCCTGAACAATATAACTTTAATCAGTGATAATGATAATTATTATTAAAAACCTACTGGAGTTCTTTTGAACAAAGCTAATAAATCTAAATTGATTTATACTAGCGGAAATTAGAAAGGACAGTGAAATAAAATGGGGACATAGTGAAAACTTTTTTTGAGTCAAAACTTTTTTATGAGAAAGCAGCGATGGCAATGCTTTCCTTTAGATGTGTTACAATCCTTTAAATTGCCCATGAAGTGGTCTGTGAACTGAACTATCTGAAACAGAGGATGACCTCCCATTTAATCTACAACTTGACAATCTACAATTGTTTTGGGGGCTAATAAAATATACAGCTTTATTCACTGTGTCCAGAGTACTATCTTTAGCTAGAAAAACCCTTACCAATGACATTTAAATATTTTCAGTGTTCCTCTTTCATTGAATTGCATATTGTTTATATTTTATATTTGTAGTTTCAATTTACTACCCCAAAACCTACTTCCAGATCCTAAACAAAAAAGACTATGACTGTAAAATTTAAATTTTGTTTATGGTTCTTAACCAAGTATCATGGCAAGGGCCAACTATCAGGGAAAAGGTGATATAGTGCCGACCCCCACCATATAGAAAGTTTAAGTAATTTAACCGTGACTGCTTACATGTGATTATGAGATTTTTTTGGTAGTTTTCATTTTTCATTCATATTTAGGCAGAAATACCTATTATTGCTCTAACAGGAAGCCAGCAACTGCTTCTCTTCTGTGATTTCACTCAATTTTACTTACATTCCCTCTGCCCCTTTTTGGAAACCCAAGGTGTTCATCGTGTCTCAGAATTCTGCCTCCCTAAATGTGCTGCGGGACTATGAACTGAATGCACTTCCACCAACGGTCGCTCCTTCTGCCCTATCCTTCACCTCTTCATCTCTGGAGCTTTGACCTTTTCAGAATCTGCCCAGGCAGTCAGCTTGGCAATTCGTCTTCCAAACTCTGTGGTATAGGGCCCTTGTGTTAACATTATTTTCACTGAGTTTTGGAAATTAAGTAAATGTCAAAATATTTGACCAAAATACTCAACTGGAGATATTTTTGAATTAGCGCAATTGCCACGCTTTCACGCCTGCCACCTTGGTCTGATGCTTGTATACAGTTGGGTGGTATAGTTTTATGGACTACTATGTTTATTATGTTCTTAAATTCTGGTTTTAGCTTTTGGATTCCAACATTTCTGCTGCACAAAAGTGTCAAAAGATGCAAAGGTAGATGAAAGGTTTCCTTACTAATTACATAACTAAAATCGTGAAACAAAACAGAACTTTTTTCCCTCACTTTCCTTCCATCCATCTACCCATAAGTATTTCTTGCATACCTGCCATGTCTGCACATTAAGAACTATGTCCAGTATTGAAGTTCACCTGAGACAGACATCATTACTACTCTAATAGAATTTAGAACTAATTCAGCATTATTGCGAAGAAAATAGGTTTTGACTACTCTGTATCTAATACTCATTTTCTATGGGTTTAAGGAAAGAAGCCAGTAAATCTGAATGGTAGCAGTCCTCTTAGATCAGGAAAGCAGAGGCAGGCTAAACCAGGCTGAACTGGAACATTTCCAGTGTCATACCTGGTGGCTGCAAGTCCACTACATCCCTCATACAGTGATTCATGCCTGAGACATCATAGTGAAATCAGCCGGAGAGGATAAGTATGACCTCTGCAGGGTCCCTTGTTTGTCTCCTAACAGAAAAATGCCTTAACTATGGCTCAATATCTTACTGAGAGCTTCCTTTCTGTCCCCTAGTCTCAGATACACAATACTTAGGCCTGATTTCATGAGGAAAGAGACCATACAGATCAGTAATATTTTAGTGTGAATTGGTCTTCTCGTAAACTACTTCTCTAGTAGTCTATTTTTAAAATGAGGACCGCAAAGAGAGGGATTGGTCAAATGCCGGGAGAAATGTTTTAGGGCCCTAGAATTGCCAGGGCTATCCAAATCTGCCTATTTTCACACCCAAGTATGATTTTTTTTATTGTTTATTGTGCTAATTCTTTTAAAAACTATGTGAGAACCCTTGACCAGTGTGGCTCAGTTGTTTGGGTGTTCTCTGGCAGAGGGAAAGGTCACCTGTTCGATTCCTAGTCAGACCATATGCTTAGGTTGCAGGTTCGTTTGTCAGGGCGTGTACAAGGGGCAACTGATCATTGTTTCTATCTCACGTCCATTGTTTCTCTTCCTCTCTTTCTCCCTCCCTTCCCTTCTCTCTAAAAATAAATAAATAAAATTTTAAAGAAAAAATAGCTAAAAATAAAACTATGTGAGAACTGTCACTTTATAATAAGAATCTGCTTGTCTAACCCAGCTTAGTGATGGCAAAATTATTTAAATTAACATCTCCTCCCCTTGTCATTCTGATTCAATTGAAGGGGTAAAAATATAAAATAAAAATTGTAAACAAATATTTATGTAACTTCTGCAACCATTTAAGTTTTTTAAAATCAGCGTTGACTTTATTGCACACCAGCATTGTTTTAATTCACAGGCAATCACCTCTGCTTTGACAGTGCATCATTTACTGTAGAAGTCAGCAAATATGACTAAGTTCATCTTTTATGCTTGTCTAGCAGATGTTACTAAAAATGTGGCTTTGTGTTCTTTTTTTAGGAAGTAGAGTCCCCGAGCCACTTTGATATTTATAAGAGTCATAAATCCATGCTACAAGTTTTGCTTGTTTGTGGAACTA